CGTGTTCAGCTACTTTCACTTTATCTGATTAAATTTTTCAAATAATACTTTTTTGAATAATAAGTGTCTGTTGACCTAGTCAAGATCATCAACCTTACAATACAAGAATGCTACCAATAGTTATGATAAATTCATATATTTATGAACGCTAATTGTTTTTACAACGACGTGAATGCATTCACGTTATCCATGATTGAAAAGTGTTGTTTCTCTTTAAAAATCAAGAGAAATAAATTTTTGTTTTTCACGTGACACCAAACTATTTCATATTGTATTCGCTGGGGATTTCAAATGATTAATCTCATCATTTTTAGTTAGAATAATATGATTAAAATAAAAATTACAAAATTTTAATTTTTGTAGTTGGAATCACGAACTAATGCAAGTTAGATCATCATCAGAAACTTCGTTGATTGAACGAAATCTTTGCAGCAACATCTTCGCTAAACTCATGGTTCATAAATAGTTTCGTTTAAATCATGATTCGATAAATGTTAAACTAACACTAGAAACCTGGAAGAACAACTCGGCTGTTTCATTCTAGTATGGGACTCATCAGTGCGTATTTACGATCCCGCATGTGAAGACCAAACATAGGACCTTCGGTCTTGTGCGCCAATTTTCACTCTTCTGATTACTGAGTCGACATCAGTGTCTAGCTTCAATCAGTTCATAGTGTCACGTGAGCTAGGTGTAAGCATCATTTGATGCCAACTCAGTGGTCAAGAGGTTAACGTTTCGCGCACGAGATCGAAGATCCCCCGTTCGATTTCTGCATGCGGGATCGCGGATGTGCACTGACAATTTGTTCCATACTTAGAAGAAACTGGCGTCTAGATCTTCTAAGTTGCCAAAGTGAGTTAACGATAGATAATGTAGATCCTTTGTCCGATATTTGAAGTACATATCATGTTCAGATACACTTTGAATTCTAAAATTCAACTTAAATAAGTTAAATAACGATAATTTTTTATCATTCATCTGGTGGATAACCTGTTCAATACTCAATAGACTGTTATCATAATCATAGTTTTTGAATGATTGTGTACTAAATTGATTTAGACATTAAAATCTCGGTTGTGAAGCTTAAAATCTTACTTTCAGTGATTACAATTGAACTGAATGTTATATTACATCCTCTGTTTCTGGTTTTGAGTACAATTTCAAGTTTTATTTAAAACTTCTGATAACTGACTGCAGATGATTATATTTTGATGAGAATGACAAATAATGCAACGAACAAACAACGTCCAAACTTTAAAAATAAACTTGATAAAATAAAAAGCTATTCAGATGATCGGGTCTCGTATGGTTGCAAAATGAAAATCTCACAATTGTGAAAAAAACACTCGACATGAGAGACAGCATCACAAGACTGTTTGAACGCATTTGAATCAAACTAGGCTGCATCTCTTACTATTCCATGCCCTATGATTCCTATACCATCAGTTGTATTGCTATATGGAGCTGAAGGTTTCCTATGAGACCAGAGGTTCGTTGTGAACATTGTTTATCTCTTGGCATTATTTGGACATGTTTTAGTGATAGTCCATATATAAGCATGTTTTGAAGAGTGTTTCCATATGAGCAGAACTTAACTACTGTCGACCGAATAGGATAGAATAGAATTAAATAATTATCTGTTTGGTCATTTTCAAGTCACAAAGAAAGACACCAACTTGTTGATTTTGGTGCTTTTCAGTGTGGTAGATCTAGTTTCAGGTACAGAAGCAGTTGAATTGACAAACGTAAACTTTATGGCTTAATGGAAATTCATTTATTCGTCTTAAACACATTTGTTATGAAAAAAAACGTTAAACCAGATGATAACAATTTATCATTAGGGGAAGACACAGTTGAATAAGCGAAATATCTGCGCGTACATTCGTAAAACCAGTGGATGAAATGATGTTTTCTTGCACATGTCTTCTAGCCTTTAAAAAATCTTGATTTTATCATATATCTCGGGATTCGGAAATCTTCACTTCAGCAGTAACTTCAGGTTGACACTTAGCTATAAATCATTTCCATACTACTTACTAGCCACATTAACATAATGACAAGATTCAACTCCATTTGAAAATTAAAAATAAATGCATATACTATATTTGTGAACAATATTCACTGTTTTATGTAGAAATACTTCGTTACAATCCATTAATTAATTTTCAAATTTATTTGTGTACATACTAAGTATAGTTACCTAACTATTGGAAACACAATTATATATTGTCAATATTCAGTATTTTAAATAAAATTATCACTAAAATTAATTAAATTTAAAATGTTTTTGATGTCAAAACTTTATATAATACATAATTATAATTCACAAAGGAATTGAATTATTTTTTTTGCAAAAAACAAATTACACTTTGTCAATACCGAAAAGATTCCTGTGAAACATTATCTTCTTTGTTGTTTCATCAGATGAGGTTTTTAAGAGATGTAAATGATTTTCAAACAATCATGGCATGTATGGAGTCATAATTGTTGAGTAAATTCTTGATGGGAAGATTATATTAGTAAAGTACCGGCTAAGGAAGTTGAGTTATTGGAATAAGTTTTGAGTATTGTGATCATTACTGAAATTATGAATGTTAGACTATCACCAATGAAAACCTGGAAGCACTGAACGGGTGTTAGATCCTGGTCTGTAACTCACCAGCCAGGAGGACGCATCCATTATTCCTGGCATTTGTAAGACTCGAACCAAGGACGTTGATTCTCGTAGGCAAACGCCTAACCTCTGGAGCACTGGAGCGGCATCTAACGGTGTTAAATCTTATAAAACTAATGATTTTGCACAACCTTACCCCTTGTCTTCAGAAGTTATTGCCTACATCCGACAAGGTTGAACTCCACTGGCTACTTCTTCTCACTAGAACTCCAAGAATTTCCTCACAAAGCTAGTCACTGGAAAGCACATTGTACGATTTTTCACTACGTGGCTATGGAGATTGTTGTTTATTACTGAAATCATGAATTAATAGTCGTTGGACCACTTTTAGAAACCTGGAAGCACTAGGCGGCCGTTTCGCCCTCGTACGGCACTCATCAGCATGATTTCAGTAATAAATAACAAACCCCATAACTCTTTAATGAGAAATATTCTTTTTATGTAGATAGTTGCGTTCTAATCATATCTCCCTGACGAGAACCGACGATTTTAACCTAGTATGGTCCTTGACGAGCTCCGCCGGGAGCTCCTTTTTGTTTACTGCCAGATTCCAAGCCTAGATAAAGGAGCAGGGTCGGGCATGAGGTTAACGACCCCTTACTGCAGAAATCCAAATCGCTAAAAAAGCGCTAACCATCAAAAATAATTAGGCGGCCTATGCATCATTCTGGGTAGAAGGTGTTAGAAAATGAGAACAGTTTCTTGAGTTTCTGTGACGTTAGCCAAAACATTCAACATACTGCAAGCGATTCAACCTGATTTTTGTCGGTTTCTTGGTCAATCTGATCAATACAAGCTTGTAGAAGTTTGTCTTGATACATCACTTAACTGAGTCAAGCTCCAGTAGATCATTCAGATTCTAATCGTTTCTCACATAATTTTATACTCAAGTTAGATGTTTTTTATTGTCAATTTTAACTATATTTCAGTCTGTTTATTTATTTTCTTGTGTTCCATTCAATTCATAGATTTAATTATTTAGCCTAAAAGTATACTATATTTACTCTTCATTTGTCCTTGTAGCAATTCAGCTTTATTAGATAATTATAAATCAGGTCGAATAATTGTGAAAAAGGTTCGTTTTCTTTACAAATAAGGTCTGTGTCTCATGAGGTTTAATGAACTCAAAATTATACATCTTATAACAGTAATTTATTTGTACTGGACAGAGGAGATACGACCTTTGGTTAATATTCGATATAAGTTCTGATTTCAAATATGTATTTATAACACAATTTGTGGAATTGCATATGTACTGACTATGTAATTTTGACTCAACGAATAGCTGTGATCCAACATAAATTAAGTTTAACAAACGTACAAGCGAAAAACAACACCAAAGGAATCGATTCCAATGTAGGAACAAGTTGTAAAGTGTGTATTATTATGTTGAGTACACACATAACCTGTCCCAACCTTTGGACAAACTGATTTATCCATTCTTCTCGAGTTATTCATATGTCTTTCGACCTTATCTGTTATTCTTTTATATCTTGGTCAGTTTTATCCTAGTGTTAGTGCAGCTTATTTTGCTTATTATATGTGTAGCAGCTTATGTTTTCTGACCGCATTGAGTAGGTTCATTCACCTTCTCCAGTCCGCTTCGTTTTGCCTATACGCTGCGCATTCTCATCTCTGTCTGCTAAAATAAATGTATGAAATAAATTCATCGATAAAAATCTTATTTAGCTTCTTATTGCCGCCTAAATAAGGAAATATCAGGAAATTGACGGGAAGATTTATTTCATTGCATGTTGAAGCGTCCGTACAAATAGGGGTCGTTACGAGCCACTTAAATGTGAACCTTACTTTAAATTGAACGCAGTCACCAAAAAAATTGAATAAAGATGCAAATAGTAAGAATTACTATGACTAATTGCAACATCAAATAGCTTACTGTGATAAAAGTACTGTTTACCTTTGAAGTTGACCAATTAATTATTTTTATGCTTCCACAAAAAGTGTTATTAAGCTGACAGATTATGATATTCTAGGCTGAAGATATACCAGACACGGTATAAACATTTATCTGTTGATAAATATCTAGGATGATGCATTTAAAAAAATAAAAATTAATTTCTTGTAATTTCCACTTAAACTAGTTTATATACAAAGTAGAAATGTATATGTAAAAGATGTATTGAAAGACGACTATCGTTGGCAATGAAATGTATCAAAGAGAATGGTTCATTGATTTTTGTGAGTTGCATATGAAAAGATTTCAGCTTATCAATAATCACTAATTAAAATTATTTTAATTTAGTTTACTGGTTGAAAGAAATTATTACGTCTCATCACATTGAGAAATTGATTTTGGAACAAGATGACCGATATTAGAGAATTCCAACCATCACTTTTTATCTACTGGGTACGTATCGTCTCATAAGTGTCGTAATCGAGATCAGGTTTTACGGATATAAATACAGTGTGGATTGAACAGCTGTCGAAGTTTCGTTTACTACGTAGCAATAGTCAGTACATAAGCTCTTGACGAAACACGTAATTTTTAAAAACAGATTCAAATGACTGAGTTTACATTTTGAATGCTCTCCATCTCTAATCTCAATCAATTTGTGACAATACTAGATTATAATCTATTGTTTCTGGCGGCAAACATTTTACCAATGACTCTTGACCTAGCATCACCAATGATTTTTTACATTCTATATCTTAAACTGTTAAATATTGAACAGATTTTTAATGAAGTTGCTCTAGTCAGTAACTCTTGAACACTGAAGATTCCTCATTTTAATTCATAAATAAAACAACCATTATCTGTTGAATCAGTGGTAGAATTCATTACAAGCTCATTTCAAATCTAGAGTTGATGCTGGCAGTTTAAACCACAATCAATAACAATGTTGAAACGAAACTTGAGTAGTAAATTTATACAAATAAAAACACTCTATACCTACATCAATCAGTCTACATCATAATTTAAGATGACTTTTAGTCATAGGTACTTTTAATGTCGTCATTTTTATTCAACAAATAACAGTTTATTTCTGCCTTTTCCATTTTACTATTTATTCGAGATGCTGATAACTTAATCCAATCTGCATTATCAATAACAAACAATACGAAAAATTCACAATATTCTGCAAATAATCAAACCATTACACAAGGTGAACAAATCACTTTACATTGTATACCTGATCATAATACAAATTTCATTATTTGGTACTTTACACCAATGGTCAAAATGCCAAATTTAAATTCCAACGAACACTCGATATCCGGTCAAAATGCAAACCTTTCAGAAACTATTGAATTAGCAGTATGTAAACCTCATGTAACATGCAAGTAAGTAAGTCTTTAAAAATAAATTTATTTTCTTTTTAAATATATGGGGATTAAACTGTGAAAATATTCTAGTTATAAGAAATTTGAGTCCTTTCAAATTAAATTTATTTGCAAACTCTCGATGTTTATTCATACTAAACTGTAATCATTACTAAACGTCGTTTATAGATATTACTGAATTTTATGGTTTACACCATAAATTGATCGTAGGTTTATAACCACTGAGTATCTGCTCAGGATTTTAAAGATCAAGCTGTCGTAGTGACAGCTGATAGCCTTGGCCATGCTTCACAATGGTGTTGTGATTTAACACTCGTGAGCGTTTTCGTATCTAAGTAGTTCAGTATTTCTTAGTCTTGGTTTATTATTTAAATAACATTAGTGCATGAGAGATTGAACATAAAGCCTTCATAAACATGTGTTCTCGTATCAAATTTTATTAATAGTGTACATGTTAACAAAAGGAAAGCTAATTTTTTTACGTAAATCCAATGTGTTGGCATATACTGAAATGTAAGAAAAAGAGTGAGATCGCAGGAGAAGAATAAGAAACTATCTTCTATTGAATGAAAGAAATCAATGATTCATTGATTTTTTGTCAGCATAAAAGAAACTCAATCTATTTTTTGTAGTGCTCCAGTAATAAATCAAAAATATGAAGAGCTGATTTACAAAATAAATAGATATTATTGTAATTGAAACTCTTAGAAAAACTTAAGCCAACAATGTTGAGGATAGTTTGTTTTTTTCAAAGAAATTATCAGCAAGATAGACTTCCAAATTAATAGCAGAATACAATGATTACATTTTATGCGAGAATGAAAATTCTTGCTTCAATTACTTGTGAAAGAAACGTGGAGTTCTATATGAGCAGGAAGCATTCATCCAATTCTTCATAGTTTTCGATGATACTCTAACTATCGACAAATCTCAATCATCCAACCTTCATTTTTCTGACAAAATTCATGGATATTTGGTTGGATTAGTAATTGTAATACCAGTATTCGTAAAAAATTTTTAAATCAGTTTTAGTATTATTTAGTATTCAAAATGTTGCGAAAATAAATAGACGCTTAGGAGAAAACAGCTTTTCAATGAATGATAAATGAGTACATTCAAGGGAGGATAAGAAAATGATTATATAGTTTTGAATAAGTTCATTATAGTTATTCATTCATTATAGAACAAATTCTGGTATGTAAATTTTCAGACACAACTTGATAGATATTAATGAAAACATTTGAACACAAATATGAAATGACATATTTATTGCACACATTTCAAATCTTTGTCAAACTGACGAAAAACATAATATTATTTTGAAATTCTGAAATATGTCTATAAGATTTCGTTTATTTAAAGACAATTTGGGTAACAGAATGGTATTTTTGTTTGCTCAAAAGAATCATTGATCAAATGTATTTGATTAATTTTTCTTAACGTCTTTCAAAATGACTAAACTTCACTGGTTGAACCGATCGACAAACAACACATTTAGACTGTTAATTATTTAGACTATGAATTTTATATTTCGACTGAGAATGAACTGTCTGAAGTGAATAGTTTAATGTGGAGGAATATATTTTGACTGTTTCTTTTCTAAAATAATATTACTTAACACTGCCTCGCTTTTTACATATTAGTAAATTAAGTTTCATATGGTTTGAAACTTTATATATATATATATATATATGAAAAAAGTTTTATGAAAACCGTTTCCTTCCTGTTAATTTGTTCAATGGATTATTTTTCTTATGATTAAATTTTTATTCGAAATGAGACAAATCATTTAAATTTTTATTTCAGTCTATTTTATTCTAAAATGAATTGAAATATGCATATATTTATAGTATTTCTTTTTTTGAATAAATTATTAAACATGAATTGATCTTAATGAATTATTATTCATAATGAGAAAAATAATTTTGCATTATAGTATTATGGAGATCGTTGTTTTTAAACACTTGAAAATGATGAATGAATCAATATTAGACAATCTGGAAGCACTGGACTGCCGTTTTCTCCTGTTATGGCTCAATGGTCCACAGGTTAATCGTTCACGCACAGTGTACGCAGTGCTGATGAGTTCCATACCAGGACGAAATGGCCGTCCAGTGCTTCCAGATCTCTAAAGATTATCTAACATTGATTCATTCGTGATTTCAGTAATAAACTATAATCTCCATAACTCTATAATGAAAAAATATATTTATTCATTTATCTGTTCACTGAATTAGATTATTTATTCAAGTCATAAAAGTGTTGATATAGAAATGTATGTTTTGTGAGACATGAAATTACAAATATTTTTTCGTTCAATATCATTCTTCTTTGAGTAATTAGGATTGTGGTTTCATAATTATGTACTCTTCTCTCAGTATGCATATCATCAAATGACAATTTAATTAGTTACGCAAAAAGAGAACAAAATTTCTAATTTTTTTCTATATTCTTGATTGGAAATATGTTTATGCGAAGCATAAATATTTATTAACAATATCATACGAATTTGAGAAAAATATTTGTTTAAAGTAATAAAATATTGAAGACAAAATCAAGGAAAAAACAAGCCAGTCGAGGAAAAATTTAAACGTAGGAGGGAATATAAAAGTGTTATAATAACTGAAGAAATATACAGGTGAAAATGGTGATAGATGAAATGTAGGAAAGTGCATTGTATAGAATTTGATTTTCTCTTTCCAGAATATATATATGATTAGGAAATGATAGGTTTTCAATTCATTTTGTAGACACTATTAATAAAAAATCCCATACGTTTGTCATTGTCCCGACTGAATAAATTTTCGTATACTACACGATACACTGTAGTCCTTTCTGAACATTTTGTTAGAAGCAAAGTGGATCAGGTAAGAATCCATGAATGTGTAATAAGCAGTGTGAACGGATGAAATCGTTTGGTTATTTATTGACTAAAATTAATAACTAACAAGCACATTTTTTTCTTAAATAAAATAGAAAAATTATTTCCAGACATGTTGGATTTATCAGTAGTTTTACAATTTAACCGATCACCACACTTGACAATGAATTGAGTGTCGCAGAACTATGAAAGTCATCATTCGGTCGAAACAGGTATTTATAAATAGATTTATAAGCATGGTATTCCTGATCACAATGGAGGCACTAATCTGGAATGAAGACATGATAAACGAGCAACTGTTTCAGCTCCGACATACACTCATCAATAATTGCTCTTGATCAAGTTTCGTCGAGAAAAAGTAGAAAATAAAAATATAACCTGCAGCCACTAAAACACAAGTTATAAATACCAGTGAAAGTTTAGCAATATCCACAACATGATTATGATATTTATCACGTACACATTACGGAATCCTTAGATTTCTAGTGAGAATCGGTGACCATTGGAATTTATCTGTGTCGGATGTGAGCAGTTACCCACTGAACACAATAGATGAGGTCACGTAATGTTGTGAATTGTCTGAAGTTAGAAATCAACACCTCTCAGTGCCGTTTCAGTGTTCATAGGTATGGATGTTTGCGCTCGAGTCCAGAGATCTAGGGTTTGATTGCCAATAGTGAGGTTGTGGATACACCCTATTAACGAGTATCATACTAGGATGAAGCGGCCATCCAGTGATTTTAAGCTTCTAGTGCTAATCTAACATTGATAGATACATGATATGAAAGAAACTATTTATAAACAACGAGTTTTTAGAAGATAGTGCTTCAGGAATTTCGGTCAACAATCTAAGGAAATAAACTTGATATCGTCGTTTTCTTTCTACCTTATCATTTGTGGATGTATCAAAAGTAAACATAAGCCACATCGCTGTGCATATATAAGTTAACTTACGAAGCACTTTATAATGGCCATAAAATGCAACGGCTTTCTATACACATAAACATACGCGTACTTAAAACAGTCTAAAACCTCAATACTGCAACATCTTGTCAATTATAGTCAGATTAACGTATCAGATATATCCTTCAAATCAAAAATTTCAAATACAGCATAATATAATTTCTTAGTGATTCATTTTTTTCAAATCTGAGCTCTGTGTCCAAAAGTGATATGTGCAAGCTGTCATTAGTAACAGCTGATTTCTTAAACACAACCAAATGATTGTTACTTCATTCTTCAAAATGGTTTAATTATTCAATTATTTCATATTATTGCTTTCATGTCGTTTTATTTTCTTCAAATTCAGTTCACGTCAAATAGATATGTGTCTTCTACAAAAATTTGGTTTTATTGCATTTTTCAATTCCTGAACATCACACAATTTTCTTATGACTGTTGAAAATTTTTACTCACTTAACTGCTTCACTTATTTCACTGTCCACATGTACATTTGTACATTTTGAGCAAATGATATTGTGGAACAGAAAAAACTAGATTTCTTTTGATTGAAGTGACTTTATTTCTTTGCCTAATAATGAAATCATCATTCGACTAGACAAATTCAAGTAATTTATTACTTAATGACGATAATTAATAACTCTGTCTGTTTGTGTATGTAACTGTAATAATCATTTGTCCGGTAGCCATGATTTGTCTGGTGTACATCTGATTACAGTAACCTCAATATACACATATGGCTTACATTTCACTAAATTTCGTATTTATAGTGATTCAATAGTCAATTGTATTCCTGTTGAGTTGTTTGCAATTGATTATCAATCGACCATTATTTATTAACATTCGGCGCCATAGTCAATAAATAAATCTTAAAGTATACATCATTCTCTTCTTCTTCTTCTTTAAATAATGATGACATTTTCCATTCGATGCTTTTTTTCTAGCGTTTACCATCATAAATTATTTGGTGACGCTACATTGTATTACATAAGCATGTAGACAAATAATATTTAATCGAAATACATTAATATTGTTTTTTAAATAAGTGATTGAATGTATCGTTTTTTTGTCAGTATGGATCTTGAATTTAAAGAGATGAATTGTGGAATACATATTCCTCATAACTTTGACTACAGTCAATAAAATTTGTATGATCTTATCGATAAAATTTGAAACAATTTGCTGTGATTTGAATATGAGACTGGAATTAGTAATTTGGTGAATAAATAAAATGTTATTTCATAAGTATTCTATTCTCGATAGGATAATAATAGCAAACATGCTTGAGGCACATTTTGTGTTGCATATGAAATGGTCTTTATAAAATTAAGTAATCATTTACCCTATTAAAGCAGGTCTAGGCGGTTACATACGGAAGAAAATAGGCATGTTTGGTCGAACCCCAAACAGATTAAAGGTGGACATTAACACTGTTCGATTCCAGCTCATTTGTCCAAAGGTAAAGTGTTCGTACGCAAGACCGGAAGTCCTAGATTCGATTCCTGAGAGTGTGGGTCATGAGAGCACAATGCTGACACGTAGTGCTGTACGAGGAAGAAACAGAAGTCCAGTGCTTCCGGGTTTTGAATGATGGTCCGACAATGACTGATTCATAATTTAAATATAAAACAAAAATCTCTGTAAATTTATACTGAACGAAACGATTATATCCGACGTAGATAATGTCATATACCTGCTGTTATCGAAACTTACGCTTTTGTTGAATCATTGTGGTACATACCAATATTATCCGTTGACCTTATACCCTTCTAATTATATTAGCAAATAATCGAACAATTCTTTGTGAAATTTTAAACAAAACTAAATTTTTACACTCTGAATTTAATTTAAATTTAAAAAAAATCTGTGTTTTCAATTTTTATATTAGAGAACAAATTCATCTAGCTGATGTACAAGTATATCCAAATGGAGTCTTAACAATCACATATGTTCAATCATATCATAGTGGAAATTATCAATGTGCAATGTTAGCCGGTGTTAAAACAGTCACATTGAATAGATATTTGATTGTTGAAAGTAAGTCATGGAATATACTTGATAAAATCACTGATATCAATGAACTTTTTGCATGCACATACTGTTCACATTGAAATCATGAATGAATTATTTTTAGGCAGCCGTTAGAAACCTGTAAGCACTGGACGGCCGTTTCGTTCTGGTGCGAGACTCGTTATCAGTGTGCATTCACTCCTACGAGTAGCAGGAGTGCTTCCATGTTTCTAATGGTGGTCTAACAATGATTTCAAGTTAAAATTAACATCTCCATAATACTCTGATGCAAAAACATATTGCTCGATCCGGAAAAACTACTCATACAGTTTTGATGATAATAATTGTTGGGTATGTTAGATCCCCAGAACTTGCTTGATAAATGTCTTTATATTGGAATCATTTCATGGGCCGATCAGTTGATCTTGAGATCACATTTCCCACCATCCTTGGCTGTGATTGTCTACTGTGTCATTTTAGTGTGCTATTTTGTGATTCTCCCAAGGACGTCTCTATGGAGTATAAATAAACTCGATTTGTGTGCTTGTTGACCATGTATTTCTGGGTGTTTGTAGAATACACTTCCTACGCTATATTACGACTTCTTGCTTGTACAATTGGGTCAAGGGATCATGGTAGCCTACCTGGACGCCGGTTCATTGTTTGTTCCTTTTATTCGACTAAGGTGAACCCGTAATAGTTTTAAGCACAACTAGAGACGAACGTAACAATAATTTATGTAGTATTGGAGATTTACAGATATGTAAACAAAAATGTTTTTAAACTGATGTAATGAATAAGTTTGTAATTATACAAAATGTAGATATACTTAAAAAAATGGGAAAATTAAATCTTCACTATTTCTGAAAAAATTTATTAGCTCATCGAGATATCTTTTTTGTCTTTCCATCACAGAAACTTTTTAAGACTATACAAAAGTCCCGAATAACAAAACTGATCTTACGTTCAGCTCAGTGTCTGTAGGGTAGAGGATCTCCAATTTCACTTATTTAGTCACGAATTTGAATTATATTTCGTTTTGGGCAACCAATTTCTCAAACAATGCTTTACACTAAGAGGGTAACTTTAAGCCTTATGCACAAGTACGTACTTGGTTAAATAATCAGTCAATAATTTCAATTGGAAATACACTATCTGCAGAGTCAGTCTGTACATTTTATGAAATTTGTTGTGGTTAGCATTTTTTTAGCGATTTCGATTTCTTCTGGTTGGGTTTGCTAACCATATGCCCAATCCTCCACCTTTATCCGGGTTTGGGATGAGCAGCAGGCCCAGTGGGACTCCACGCAGGGTTTATGAACTTCGTGTTTCATAAATTCATTTAAACTAACATCGATAACAATCAAAACCCGTAAAATATGATTCTATAAATTCTTACTGTTGATAAAATCACTTTCAATTGTTTTGATAATTTAGCTCCTCCAGAGAAACCTTGGATTATAGTTGACACACCAATTCGGAATAAAAAAGCTTTTGAATTCAATAAAGAATCCAATGGAAAAATGTATATTATGGAAGGTGAATATCTTAGTTTATCATGTCACAGTACGAATGGTTTTCCTCAACCACAAATATTTTGGTCAATTATTCCAATCAAAAATGAAACAATACATTCAATGAACTATGAAAGCACACAAACTAAAAATTTCAATGTACAGAATTCATTTCACAGAAATGATGTAAGTAATATATATATTTATTGAATTCAATTCATATATTAAAAGTACAAATTCATTTTCATTAATCAATAATTAGACGAAATTTTGAAATTCTAATATTAAAAATAGATTTATGAATCATTTCGACGATTTTTTTTTAAATAAATCAGACTAATTTTTGATTTCCGTTTTGATAAACCACAAGAATGATTAGATGAAAATGTATGATTTAATTTTATGTAATTAATAGGAGCTTAACAACAGATTGAATCTAATGATAATAAAAAAATGAAAAGATTGGATATAAATATTTTTATCATAATTCTTTTATTATTGAAATCATGAATCAATCATTGTTAGATAACTATTCGAAACTTAGGAGCACTGGACGTCAGTTTCGTCCTAGTATGAAACTCTCCAGCAGTGCGCATACACAACTCCCCTCTTTTCACAGGAATCGAACCCAGGGTCTTTAGTCTTAAGCGCGGATGCTTAAATTCCGGACTACTGAGCCAGCATTCAACGGTTTTAATATCTAACTCTGATCAATCGAAGGTTTCGCGCAATCTCACCCATCTTTTACTAATTGTATAAAATTGTTTGCTCAAAGCTGGTTTATTAGGATACTAATCAGAAGACAATATAATTTAGTGAAAATTCAAAAGCTGAATTAATAAAATGAATGTTAGAATAGGGAAATTGTAGAGAATGTTCAATTTTTCAAATTTAAAAAATTGAAAATACGCCAGAAAATATTGAGACTTTAACATTGCTCACTATGGGTAAACTTTGAGATGGAATTCAGAAAGCATCAGTGAGTAGCTGCGGTCATCAAGTTTCTACAGCAGGCGATGAAGGGTAGTTTGGCTGAAGTCATGTGCATAAATTATTGTATTATGATTTAGAGGTTTACAGGTTAGACGCTCACTTTAGTTGCTTGATTCAGTCAACTTATCTGGAGTTTTTTACTAAACATATAGACCTTGATTGTACAGGGTGAATCATTTAAACGAACTCTATGCAAAAAGAGTTAAATCATTTTCTGTCTTTAATTTTATTCTAGAATCTAGGATCATCTGTGGATCATTCAACAGTAACTCCTTATGGAAACACATCAATTCATTTTCAATTGAAAGTGTCACGATCACATGACGGTATGGGAATTATTTGTAAAGCTGTGAATAGAATAGGTTCAAGTGTATCAGAACCACATGAAATCTCTGTTCGATGTGAGTTTCACGTTTTTCTTTATGTTATTAAATCACTAAGCATAGTGAATTAATAATATTAGCTGAATATCACTGAAGATGATCATAAACACATGCTTCATTGGGTTTGTGTGAAGAATAATGACTTGATTCATAACTTGATCATAAACATACGTCATATCATGATCATTCTTAAAAGTCTGAAAACAATAGATGCTTCGGAAGCAGTTCAATAGACATTTTATTTATATAAGTGACAATTTATTGTGCTTATGTAACAATAAAACTTTATTGATTGTTACGCAGACTGTATTAGTAAATTGGTGGAATTGTTTTATCAAGTGAAATTACAAAATGATTTCGTCGTACTTTTAATGTTAACTTTTATTGTACGTTACTCATTCTGCTACTAGAATAAAACCTATAAGAATTATTTATTAGTTGACATACACTTTTACTAATCAAACTTAATTTTATTTTTACAAGTAAAAACAACTTCATCCATCGTTATAAACCAGCTGAAATTCCATTTATCATGGATTAATTAATTATTAAGAAAGATAGAAACAAAAAGCATTTATGTAAAATGATAAAACTATCTATATTATATTCCAACAAAAACTTATATACAAAACCATATGGATTTTACCGGTTTGCACTACACAGAATCTAATCGACCATATCTGTATCCATAAAATGTTAATTAGAACCATGGAGGACGTCAGAACCAAGAGAGGGGTCGCAGATCACCATATGCTGGTCGCCAAAATGAAACTGAAACTCAAGAAACACTGGACAGCGGGGTGGAATACAACAGAAAAAGTTTAATATAGCCTTGCTTAGGGATACTGGCAAACTCAAGAGAATTCAAAATAGCCATCAGCAATCGGTTCCAGGATTTTCACGATCTACTCAATGGAGGGGAAACTACCATTGAAAACAATCGGAAAGTGACTAAGGAGGCAATTACTTCAACATGTCAGGAGGTTTCGGGCCACAAAAAGTACGATCATAAGGAGTGGATCTTTGTTGATCCTACGTGGAAGATTCGAGAAAGGAGGAACAAGAAGGAAGCAATCAATATCAGCCGAACAGGAGCAGAGAAAGCCAAGGCAAGACTTAAATACACAAACGCAAACAAGCAATTGAAGAGGGGCTTGGATCTGATAAGTGAAAATATGTGGAACATCTAGCAGTGATGGCGAAAAAGGCTGCAAGAGAAGGAAACTTGAGACAATTGTATGTTACAACAAATAAGCTCACTAGATATTTTCGTGAACCAGAGCGGACAACAGATAGCAAGGAGGGTAAAGTAATCAGCAACATTGAAGATCGGTGAAACAGGTGAAATAAATCAGAAAGAAACACCAGAAAAGGATGGGGTATACACTGAGAAAAGCACCAAACTTCATCACACAACAAGCCCTCACATTGAATCCTCATGGTTAAAGGAAAAGAGGATCACATTACCCCTAGGAATGGAGAAGGACATGAGAAAAGGAACAACAGTTGAACAAACTTAGAAAGGAAGGCCGAAGAGAGAATAGGTTACAGGATACTGGTTGGCGGCCTACGTTCCCCCCAGGAGTAACAAGAGAAAGTAACTAAGTATTAACTTTCATTTTGAACATAGACACTGGTAACTTATTTTCATTTTTATTGTTCGGTAATTCTAATCTGTCATTATTTTGCTTTCCTGAGATTAGGCAAAAAAATAATAAAATAAATGTTTTTAACTTTAAATAAACTATCACGAAAGATATGCTGAAGGTGTGTCAGACAATCAATTTATATGTGGACATAAAGTCAGGAAAGTAAAATTTGAAATTTCATGTATTTTGGGATGTGATTAGCTGTGGAATCTGAGTCTGGAGATTCGTCTTATTCGGAATTTGCCAGCTGAATCGATCTAAAAATATCAGCAAAAAAATGATCCAACCATCAAATAATTCGGAATGAACAGGCGCAATCCACTTGAACAAATTCTTAAATAGTAAATACTGTATTGTTATAACGTACGTAATTCTATTTCAACTCTCTAACAATCAAAATTACAAATACCTGACTAATATTCAAATTTCAAAAATCCTATTGTGGTGCTGTGGTGCGAACTACTTATAAGTAGTATATAGCGTGAGTGTCAACGTAAAGTCTGGTAGCATAATATGGGGGGAAGATCAAGAAAGGAAGAGTCAGAAAACAATGGAATTTGTATGAAACGCATGAACAGTGACAATGGATTGATGTTTGGCAACAGGAACAGTCCAGTTCCATAGGATGAACTGATCTTTTGCAAATGAACGATTTACGATATGGTTTTCCGATTTTACTGAGTAACTCTGTAATTTTCGTTAAATACAATTCGGTTGCCTCCACCTGTGTTCTCATTCACTACACTATTACAGAAATGTCATGATCATAAAGGATTATTTGAAACTAATTTTAGAGTATTCATTACAAAATGCTAAATCTATCGTGATTGTTAGGTATAGATATTATTATGACTATTCTGTATCGTACGTTATTTTCAATAAAAAAAATAGTGTTTCCTTCATCTTTTTCTTTTCTAAAAAGGTTTGTACAAAATATAAATTGTTAAAATTCAAATAAAAACCTACACTGTATTTTAAATGTTTGCTAATTAACGTTTCAGTACAATATTAAACATATTTTTTAAATTTACATATTTCAGATGCTCCTGTAATTTTACAATTTCCCGATGAGCCTTTAATTGTTTTAAATGAAAAACCAAGTATCATTGTATGTCATGCTGTCGGTAATCCTTCACCGACTGTATATTGGACTGATCAATATGGTAGGAGAATATCAAGTATGTATTCAAGTGTCTGTAATAATTATGAACAGTTTTATTTTCTATAATTGACTATGTGATCTGACTGTGCAAAGCAATACTAAAAACAAATTTGTAAACACTTTTAGCAGTTTTAGTTATGTAATCTGAGAATAAAATGTACCTACTAATAACAAAGAAACTGCCTTGTCAATTTGCAAACAACGATTTAGATATCAGAAATTTTAAACTTACTGAAAGTGATTAGACTATTTCAGGTCAATTATTGTGACATGTTATTATGACAAGTTTAATTTTCTACCGAGAAAATAGACTATTTATTGTTTCAAATCGTAATTATTAAAAATACTCTTCGCCATTATGGTGTTTACAATGTATGGAGTTAAAAGTGTTTAATTTAGTTTCCTGATTCTTTTTTAACGAGTAGTATCAAGAGATTTTATTCCTGTGTATGCGTTGTGATTAGATAACGTCGTTCTTTAGTGGGATAATCTTTCGATGCCTCCTAAACTGAACATTATTTCAATATTCAGACTTCCAAACATTAGCAAAATATTAGTTGCGCCGTCTTTCACACATTCCAGTATACACCGAAAACGCAGTGTGGTTCACTTCACACTAATAAAGTAAAACAAGAAATCTTTTGTATCCCAAATTCCAGCTTCCCTTCTCGCTTTACATACATCTGATCAGTATCATTAAAGATTAAATGTCTAAATTCTTTAGAAGATATTTGAGTGAATTCAGAAAAACCCGGAAATGAATATCATCTAAAATACCAGGAGAAAAGCAATATTCAGCTTCATTCCGAATAAGTCTCACTCAGTAATGTGATAGTCATTATCTTGAGGGAACTGTGTTATAAATTCATGTTTATTTTACCAATTTTCAGCATAAACGTAATACGACTGATGATGTTGATCAAAGTTTAGTGAAAAACATTTTACATTCATCTAAGATCCATAGAAAACCAGAAATTAATGAATAACTATTTTATCTGATAGTAACATTCATTAAGTGTCTTGTGAATCGATTTAAATTGTGACTTAAAGCATTGTGTATTTGATTAAAAATTTCATATAACGCTTGTCCAACAATAAGTTTGTATGGTTTCAAATATCTACTCAGTTATCATTGAGTTGAAATAAGTGATTGGTGTTTTTCAGTCACAATTTCGGGGCACATTTTATACGAAATGAACTGTTTTAAATGGATTACTTCAAAACCAATATTCAGTCAAAATAATCCGGTTATCAGTAACGTTACTGAATAGACTAGTCAAATTCATGAAGAATTCGAATTCACAAAAAAATCCGATTGATAAAAAACGAGCACGATACTGATACTGAATTATGTTTTTTTTGGTGATTATCGTCAAACAACATCAAATCAGCGCGTCAGTTTGAACTAAACAGATGTACTCAATAACAGATGGAAATAGTGAACATTTCACCATTCCTGTAAGAAAACAGAATCTTCTTGCAACAATCTAAAAAAATACCTACACGTGATGTTCTCTATTTATTTAAGTAGTAGTCAAACTGTTCATAAATTTTGATAACTGTTAGTAGTGTATGTTAGAAGCTTTCTGTTTCGTGTTTTATCACACATTAAAATAAACGTAGAGTTAATCATACTGTCTTTGACTACCGATCGTTCTAGCTCAGAACACTTCAAACACTATAAATAATTTACTTAGACTAATAAGGTTTGTGGAGAATAAATTTCAGCCATTTTATTTATAGACTGATTGATTTTGAACAGTTTAACAATAAATATTCATTGACAACTTTATTTTTTATTCTGTGGTCGTGTACTTGAATTCAGTCAACAGTGTAAATTGAAAATTCAACAATTTTCATAAACACTCTATAATGAAATCTACATTTAACAAAATAATTGAGCCATATGATTACACAAAACAAGTTTATTTTTATCAGTAGTACAGGTTGTACAATAGAAATGAACGTGTTTAGTAACATGTAAACATCATTTATTTATTTTTAAAATGTATCATAGAAACGGAACAATTAAATTCAGCTGTATTGAATGAAGTCATATTTAAAAATGATTTGAAAAAGTTTGCCAAAGAAAATTGGAGAACAAACGTCACATGTAATGCAAATAACATCCTGGGAAGTGCAGAAAAATCACTGATAATTGAATTTTATTGTAAGTTCAATGATAATCACATTCAAACATTTTCGATTTTTTTGAATAAAAGTTAAATAGTAGGAATTACTTACTGAATATACAACGAGGTTGCGCAAAATCCTTAGATTGATCAAAGCTGGACATTAACACCGTAGGATGCCAGCTCAGTGGTGTAGAGGTTGAACGTCCGCGAGCGAGGCCGAAGGTCCTAGGTTCGATTACTGTGAGTCTCATACTAAGACCAAACAGCCATTCAGTACTTCCAGGTTTTTGATAGTGGTCTAACAATGATTAAATCATAAAAGATCACTCTGCCAATTTCTTTTAACTTTGTCAATAATGAACATGTGATTACATTCAACTGTAAATCCGTACTTGAATTTACATTTCACATTTGTCTCCTGTCACATACATTTTATACCTTATTGTTGTTATATATATCGTTCATACAGCAGTATGCTCGAAGTAGTTATTAAAGGTAGGTTTGTCAAGAACCTCCAAACAGCACCTTATAATTTGATAGTGTGTATACTGGCATGTTGTGCCCACATGGTATGTCCCATGTTTTGGATAAACTATATAACTTTTTCTGTTACAGTTACTATTCACACGGCTTTCCTTCTTGCCAATTATTCGCCCATAACGTTGGTTAATTTTATTTAAGTGAATGTGAGCATTGCTTACTAGTCATACTACTAGTCACATTACTAGTCATGCCTCATCGCATCGAGTTTGTCTACTCACCTTCTCCGTGTATTCATTGCTTCGCTTCGCATTCCCTTGTTTATCCGCTTATGTGAATATATATGAACAAAATTCATACACATTAAATCGTATTGGACTTTTAATAACCTTCATCACATAAGAATGATGAACGAAAAATGAAGGAAAGATTTATTTCATAGCATATTGAATTATTTGTAAAAATTAGAGTCAGATTATGGCCCACTAGAAGTTGTTTATTACTTCATATCATCAAACGATATTAATTAAGCAGTACAACTGTGAATATGAAATAGTGAAATAATGAATTTTTACTGGCTCACGACATCTTATTCAAACAGGTGTTTTTTTTAAATGCTATATTCTCAGGCACAAATGACCTAATAGCCTGATTTACATTACTGTCCCACATTTTATTTGCATTACGGGGTTGTGAAGATTGTTAAGTTACACATTTTTGAAACCATGAGTCGATCAATGTTAGACCACCATTAGAAACCTGGAAGCACTGGACGGCCGTTTCGTCCTGGTATGGGACTCCTCAGCAGTGCGCATCCACGACTCCTGCACCCCGCAGGATTCGAACCCAGGACCTTCGGTATTGTGCGCGAACGCCCTAACCGATAGACCACTGAAATTTTGAATTACTGCGCAAGCCTTAAATCTGGTCGTTCAGGTTACCTTTTTTTACAATTGATTGCTAGCTAAGTTGTTCTATTCATATTCCCCTATATAACTGTTAATTTTGCATAGTTGACCCAAAACCATGAGGCTTGGTTGACCTGTTTCACATGAATCATTACATTACATTACATTTTAAAACTGATCAAAGAATATTCACCAATCAAGATAAAAATCTACACTATAGAGTCGTGGGGAGACTGATGTTTCACTTTGAAATCGTGAGTCATCCATTGTTAGACCACTATTACAGACCTATAAGCACTGAACGGCTGTTTCGTCCTGGTATGGGACTCATCAGCTGTGCGTGTCCACGACATCCACTACTCACAGAAATCAAACCCAGGACCTTCGTTATTGTGAGCGAACTCCTAACCCCAGAAACCACTGGGCCGGCGCTCGATAGTATTTCTAACTGTGGCCTAACACTGATCGATCCATAGTTTCAAAATAAAAATTGACCGTTCATTTTATAATGAGCGTACCATAACTTTGATGGATGAGATCTATTTGAGAATCTGGTACTGTAATACAATTATATGGATGATAGTATTATATCAGTGGATCTGATGCAGATGTGAAGGCTCGGATCGAGAAAGTAGGGGCTACATTTTTACAATTGAACCACATATGCAACTCAAAACAATTATCGACCAACAATAAAGGCACAATTTTCAATACTACTGTCAAGATAGTACCACTGTATGACATGGAAATGCGGAATACCACGAAAGCCCTTAGTCAGGAGACAAAAGTGTTAAACAGCAGATGTCTACTTAAGATACTAAGCATCTGTTGGCAAGACACCATCAGCAACAACCTATGGCGGGAGGGAATAAACCGCATTCCAACCGAAGGAAATAGTATGCAAGTGACTTATTGTTACTGTAGCAGCCTTCATCGCAAATTATTCTTGTTTGAATATGTCAAAGATATAAATATATCATTACTATCAATCCTATTATTTATTATGCTTTTATTTCCTGCTTGAATAATTAATTGAATAATTGAATAATAATTGTAAATAAACGATTACTTCATAGTGCTTCTATCTTTGTGTGGGTGTGTGGGTGTATGTATCATTGTATCAATCATATCAGTGACTGATTTAAAATTAAGTCTAATCTGAAAAAGTAATTTTGGTTTGACAAACTATCCTTCATTCATTGACTCAATTTCCTAGTTTGATTTGGAAAATTTGTACGAATGAAAATCTAAAATACAAAAAACAATCAAATTGTACATATATCGTTTAGTTGCTTCTTATATAAGCACGTCAAATCTAAGAATTATCTACAAAAGTAATCAAGGAAACGATTAAATAAACCAGTTAAGTGTATCAGAAAAATGATTATAAAATCCTACATACATCTGTCCTAGTAAAGAAAAAACGTTTAAAGCTGGAAATCAGAAAGTGATTTCTGTATACATTGATTTTTCTCAAAATCATTTTCATATAACTCGAAATAAAAATTATTAACTATGAATGTGCACTAGCGATAGACAAATAAATGAGTGCATTTTTTAACTTGAAATGTTCCATCTACAAGTTGAAGAATAAATTTTGAGTTATTCTAGATGAAAATAACTCAGTTGGATTAATAGTGAATCTTACTACAATACAGTGGTGCGGAGATTGTTGAATTACTTTTTGAAATCGTGAATCGATCTATGTGAGACCACCATTGGAAACCTGGAAGTACTGGTCGGACGTTTCGTCCACATACAGGACACATCAGCAGTGCCCACTAAAGACAATGGATGACGTTGAGTAAGACCGTGGGTTAATCAAAGTTAGACATTAACACCGTTAGGTAATGGCGGCAGTGGTCCAAAGATTAGGCGTTCGCGCGCAAGACCGAAATCTTGGGTTCGGTTCCAGCGAGTAGCAAGAGTCGTGGATGCGCACTACTGACAAGTCACATAACAAGGTGAAACCGCCGTTCAGTGCTTCCAAGTTTCTAATGATGGTCTAATAGTGATCGTCAACATTACAAACAACTGTTTCACTACTTACAAAACTTTGTTTATTATTTTTCAAGTGGTTCCTTCTTCTTGTTTTTTTTGGGGGCGGGGGTTTCACTTTTTTAGTTGCTCCAATAATCAAAACAAATCATATTATCTATGCTCGTAACGGTGAATCTGTTCGATTGTCATGTGATGCTATTTCGAATCCACCACCGATGATTGTATTTTGGTATAGAAAATCAAACAAGTTAACATTGAATATTATGAAATCGAAAGAAACAATTGAAAATGATGCATTCAAGTCAACTGATAATTTGTCAAAATATTCAGCTAATTATAATATAAGCAAAGATCAATTATATTGGTCAAGTCCAGTGTTACAAATTAATTCGGTCACAATAGATGATGCTGGTATTTATGAGTGTGCAGCTGAAAATACTATTCAATTAGAAGGTCATTATGCATTTGTTTATCGTAGAGAAAGTGAAACACAATTGTTAGTTTATTGTAAGTTTGAAGAAATATTCTAACGGTATAATGAGATCAGATTGAAGTGTGATAAAGTTGAATTTACTGCAATTTGGTTTGGTTTTTTTTATAAAATGTGATTTAAAAAACTGCAAAATTTAAATTAATGATTAAACATGAGCAATATTTCTGAACTCAACAAACTACAGTCATGAACTCGATCTCCTTAGGCACGTTTTGGAACACCGAAACCTCCTTTAGGAAAACAAGCACTTCATACTCGAAGAAATTAACAGCTGCATTGAAATGATGAACCTATAAATGTTGGACCACCATTGAAAAGCTGGGAACACTGGATGGCCGTTTCATCCTAGTACGAGACTACTCCGTTGTGAGCATCCAAGACCGCACATGTGACAATCTCACCCGTGACCTTATGTCTAGCGCGTGAACACTCAGTCCGTTGACGACGGAGTCTGCATCCAAACGTGTCCATATTTAACGACTTCTTTCAGTTGAATCCTAATTATTCGTGCATTATCTTGTTTGCTTTTAAGTGGTAAAAGTCGATATGATTACAATATTTATAGTTTTTCTGACTGTAAGATATTTCTGTTAGGTAAAGGTTTATATTGAGTCAGTTAACGTTAAAAATTAGCACTGATTATTACACGGAAACAAAGTATTAACAACTGAAATGGTTACTATAATTTACGAAATATATATGAAGGATTTTGGTGCAGATACTCACAACAGTCTAGTTTCGTTAAAGTTTTTATTTGTTATTGAAGCGTATCTGTAATCTAAACCTTTTGTTTAACGCACTGGTTGTCGTATTCTGTGACATAGTTCATGAAACTGTTAGTGTTGTAACTCCTTTCTATGCAGGATAGATAATTTGACCGATCAATAATTGAGCTGTTATGCCTTTTACGTTTGTTCATTTCATCTTATAAATACAATTATCTAAAAGATTCTTAGTTTAGCAGTGAAACAGTGAAAATTCGAAAGTTATTAGCTTATTCAGCCTAGATTTTTTCTGAAGTTATATAGTTTTTTTATTGTATTTCTAGCAGAATAACAATTTAAAAGGCAATATTTTATGCAATTTCAAGAAACATCTGCAATTTAAATAAAAAATCAACTTAATTTTTTCTTTATCACTTTAAATTCCCTTCACCTAAAAAGATCCACCTGGTAAGCCAACCATTCAAAAATTATCTAATCCACAAATCGATGAACATTTATCGGTTCTATTACAATGCAAAGCGAATAGTAAATGTAAGTTAAATTGTGCATGCAATCAGATTCATTGTGTTAGCTTTGAATATACAAATTTTTTATACACACCGAGTAAGAAGAAAAAAGCTGAATTCTTACATTGTTTTATACATGACACCGTCTGTAATTGAAAGCACGACATTCTTTTCCCTTTAACGCCTACCTTAATATGATTATCATGTGAGCAATTTTTTCAAAACAATAGTGTGTACAGCGGAACATAGATTTTCAGCATGTATTTTTATTCTTTTCGTGAAACTGGAGTTAGTATTCAAAAGCATTTTAGTCATATCATCACTAACTTATTTGCGACTGTTGCCCACAATGGAGTATCGGCTAACAACCAGCATTCTACAACCTTCTCTGTCCTGGGCCTTCCTTTCTAGTTCTGTCCTACTGTTGTTCATTCATCTCATGTCTGTTTCCATTTCTCGATGTAATGTGTTCCTTGGTATTCCTCTACTCCACTGTCCTTGTGGACTGCAAGTTAGGCCTTGCTTTCTTCTATGTGTGTCCCATCGACTCCCAGAGCTTCTTATTGATCTCTCCCTCCACTAGAATCTGGTATGTTTCCTCCCACAGTAGGTTGTTATTGATAATCACATCATTTTCAGAGTAAATCACTAAAAGGAGAAAATGCAATTTTTCAACAATATATTTTATATATTTTCACTGCAGTACCAGGACTTCCAACTCCTTCTATCGAATGGTTATGGAGTCCGAGATCTTGTAAAACAATAAAATCACTACCAACAAATATGATCAACCGAGATTCATTCAAACCGAAATTTTCAGAATTCACAGATCAATTGTTGATCAATGTAACTGATACATTTACAGATGGTTTATACTATTGTCTAGTACAAAATGACAGTGGAAATGAACTAAGTGATCCAATCAGCATTACTATACAAGGTAAGCTAATACACGTAATACACGTAATACACAATTTTTTTTATATTTAGTTTCTTTATGACATTCTTTGAGAATATTTCGTGTTTTTTCGTTTCAGATACATACATTTTATTGTCTAAACGTCATAATATGCAAAGAATTCAGTCGATTTCTGATTGTCGATTGAATAAGTGATTTATTTTAGAAAACAAATTATGAAATTGTATCTGAGTTGGATGTAGGGCAGATGTAGATATGAGTGAAATTTTCAGTTAACATCACAAACTGATATAAGTTAAAGAAATGCTGATAATAAATAGAAAAGAATTAGACAACCACTTACCCTTTGCATGCGACACCTCTAAACCAGTACGCATTATTGATCCTACCAAAGGTTGGAAGCTAGATTTAATGTGTATGACAATCAGTCAACTTCTAATTCGAGTTTTCAATTATTTTATTTGTAAGGTGGTGATGGTGAGAAATGTGTAAGCTCCCGATAAATGTTTGATATTTTTTTTAACTTGAGAAAAACTTTTATCATTGTCATGGGCATATTGTTAGAGATAATCACCTTTGTGAACCGTTTTATTTGGGGAACTAAGTTACTAGAATTCAGAATTAGTATTTCATATTATATTTGAATATTGATGAGCGGTTGAATGACGAATGAGTGTTTCATCCTACTTGGGACGTTAACGTTTTGATGACAATCTTCAATCTGTTTAGCTACTACAACCAGAAAATCGTTTACAAGTGAAGTGAGTATCAGTTTTGTTTATGAGTTTGCTTTCTTCTGTTGAGGATTCTGAAGTATCCATATGCTAAGTCAATTTTCTCCATACTGCTATTCAATAACAACCCTTTTTTATTTAATTGAAATTATAAGGCTAGTAGCAGACTATGAATCATTTTTGTAGATAAAATCATTCACCTAATCGTTGTGTCGAACTGATTGTGAAGTATAATAATCTATTTCATAGTTTTTAAACTTATGCTTTTAGAAGCGCCACAGATAGTTGAAGAACCCGATATGAATAATATTTTAAATCCATCGATTCGTTCAAATTCTACACCATATCTTCGTTGTGTTGCTCATGGAAAACCTGCACCACAAATTAATTGGCTTCATGACAATTCTATTATTCATACAACTTCAACTACAACTACCACTGTTACACTAAGAACTTTAAATGATGTGAGTGTTGATTGATGAATGATTTTGTTTTGTAGTGAGTTTCAGTGAAAAAACCTCGAACTTGAATGATATCATGAAGGTAGTCCAATGTTATAGTAATTTAAATATTTAGCTTTATTCAACACTTTGTTAATATCTGTTAAGATAGACTTTAATCAGACTACGGATGTGACAACGATAGAATAATTATCCTCTTTTACATATGTAAAAATACAGCGAAGAAGCTTACTGGAAAATATCGCAAACCAGAATGGCCAGTGAAAAGCAAGAAGGGCATAATCATCATCGACATTCAAGAATACCAAAAAGGTGGGTTTGGGCACTTTGTTGAACTCTTGAATCGAGCAACTCCACTGAATCCACTCAACATCGAAGCACCATCCACGGACGTTTCAATTTATTTTGACCCACCAACAATTGAAGAGATCAGCATGATCATCAGACAAATCAGGTGCGGCAAAGCAGCATGACCAGAAAACATTTAAGCTGGAATATTGGCAGCAGACATAACTCTTCCTATAGAGATTTTCCACGCTCTTTTCAGCAAGATTTAGGGGGAATAACAAGAACTAACAGACTGGAAAAAAGAACACCTCATCGAAATACCAGCGAAAGGAAATCTCGACAAGCGTGAGAACTACATAGGAATCACTTCTCTCTCAATACCAGGAAAATTCTCCAACAATGTTTTGTTAAACCAAGTGAAAGACTCAGTAGACACCCAACTTTGAGATCAGCAGGCTGGATTTCGTGAAGATCGATTGCTTACCAACCAAATCACAACAATATGGATCATTGTGCATCATTCAGTTGAATAGAATTCACCACCTTACATCAACCCTCTTGAATCAAGAAAACACGAAACAGCATGCATAGGACAACATCAGTCAACATCATACTGAATTATAACGATGAACTAAACTGCAAGATTATGCACGGAGGATAGCTTACAGACCTGTTCAAAATAAAGACAGGCATCAGACAAGGTTACTTACTCTCACCCCTTCTTTTTCTCCTGATGGTCGACTGGATTGTGAAGAAGTCAACATTTGAGGGGGAGCAGGGAATACATTAGACGTCCCAGATGTAGCTGAAGGATCTGGACTTCGCTGGTGACCTAGCCCTTCTGTCCCACACGCAACACAAAATGCAGAAGAAGACAGCCAGGACAGCAATAGCCTCTGCAGCCAACCGAATCACATTTGATGGTTAAGTTTGCAAGGTATGCTTTGTCAGCGTCGTTTATCAACAAGTTGGATCTGGCGCTGATGTACAGACGCAGATCGGTATGACAGGGGAGAATTTTTCAAACGAAGAACACTTTAAACTCAAAACAGCTATCAACCAACACCAAAATCACAATTCTAAGGTGAAAACCATTTTATTGTAGTGAGTGAAAACTTGGAGAACCACGAAGACCATTATCCGGAGGATACAAGTAGTTTTTAACAATTGTTTACGCAAGAAATTGCCAGACACCATCAGCAACCATTTACTGTGGAAGAGAACAAACCAGATTCCAGTAAACGAAGAAATTAGGAAGAAACGGTGAAGGTGGATAGGACACAGATTGAGAAAAGCGCAAACATAAGGAGAATTAGAAAAACAGATGCAAGTTTTCAAACAAAATCATAATGTAGTGTCCTCAACTCATTAACAACATATAAATAAGAACTGAAGGTTTAAAAAACAATGGCTTAAATAGATTTAATTTTATGATAAAAATACAAACAAGACTGTCAGGATTTTGAAAAAGCAATCATCAGAAACAGTTCTTTCATGACATATATATGTTTTTCAATCTAAATTACCATTAAGAATATACGTTTGTAGAAATTGTTATCAAAGTTACTTGATCTTTACGGAAGCGACTCATAAAAAGTCAGAAAACTGAATTCTTTAAATTCTGACAGAAAATACAACTTGATGATTTTTTGATAGAACAATGAGAAGACATAATTAGTCTGAAAAATGTAATAGATTTGCACTATACATTTCGAACTATCTGGTCATACCATATACAATTGTCAAGGCATTTTATATGAAGATGAATAAAGGGTCAATTAAATAAAAGTTCAAGTAGACAGTTGGGTGATCATTGTTAAAGGAGGAGAGAGAAAATTCACGTAATATAGACAGAATAAGAAAGGGTAGGTTATTGTCACGTTACCCTAAGGCATAAAATGGTTTAAAGATTACCAGGGTAAGGTCAAGATTATCATAAACTGTTTCTGCATACATAAGGCCAAGGCTTCCGTAGACCTCAGAATTTGTTCTTTAACATTTTACTCAATATTTTAAACGTTGTACTGATGTCAATCGTATACCACGTTTTAATCATGTGATGATTTGAAGTGGATAAACATAGTTTTCTTTTTTTATTTCCCATGTCAGTAATACACTATACAAGTTATTACATAGTTGAAGCTTTTTTTTTTACATTTTCAAGGTTCATTGTTCTTGGAGAAAAATTCGTACAAGTATCAAATGTATTGAATTTGAAACAGGTTCATATACATGGGAAACAACAAGTGAATTAATTTGGGATAATAATCATGCATGGAATAATAATTCACATAATGAATGTCAATCATATCACATAATGAATGAAGGCATTTATACATGTCAAGCCAGCAACAGTATTGGTGATGAATACTCGAAACCGGTACATTTGATTTTAAAATGTATGTTAAAAAAAAAATAAAACTCACAAAATCAAAATTAAAAGAAACTAGAATTCTTAATATTTTCATGTATATACGGTAAATCACTCAGGTTTTTTTGGTCATATAATGTAGGGCTCAAACTTAGATTGATCAGAGTTAGACATTAACATTGTTGGATGTCACCATCTTAGTGGTCTAGAAGTTAATCGTTCGGGCGCGAAATGGAAGGTCCTGGTTTCAGTGCCTGTGATTAGCAGAAGTCGTGAATGTGCACTGCTGAGGAGTCCCATACTAGGACGAAACGGTCGTCCAGTGCTTTCAAGTTTCTAATGGTAGTCTAACGATGTTTCATTCATGATTTCCCGGTAAGCATTACTGAAGCGTCTAAAAATTTCGACGAAATGATGAAATCATCAATAACCTAGTAGATACTTTTGGTAATATTTTATTACAATCATGGATCGACCAATTTTTCTTTGTTGTGCTTTAGTGTGAAGTGACTGCACTTTGGAAATGTGTGAAAATCTGTTGTCAAATAAGTAATCGATAATTAGAGTCTTTAGTGTGTATGGTGATATGTAAAGCCTACAGTGCAAACTAATTAATCGTTGATACCCTAATCATTATTCACGATTTCTAACCTTGTCACTCATTCGCTTATATGTTGGTTAATTTTGTATCAGTCTGTGTATGCATAGCTTACTTTGCTTATTACAGTTCTGGCTTATTTTTCTGACTTTCAATGCTTGGTCATGCCTTTTCGGAAGGAGTTGGCTTAACAATCCTTCTCCACTTCGTTTTACTTTGCTTCCATGCTTTATATTCTCATATGTGTCTGCATAAACGATTGCATGGAATAAACTCATGCAACTGAATCCCTGTTTGGCCGTTGCACAAACATAGTTCACTTAATCATGATATATGGAAATTGAAGAGGTGATTTATTTCACGACATATTCGACTGTTCATCCAAAAAAAAACGCAGTCAGATCACTGGCTCCTAAAGTGATGAACCGTACTTCGAATTTAACACAGCCACCAAACATCTAATATGAAACCTTACAAAGTGTTCCATCACTTACCCAATTACATGTGTAATGATGAAACAACATTCTACTAATCCCTAATCTTTAATACTGATCTAGAAAACTCTGCAATTCAATGATTATAACCCATTAATTATTCTCAAACTAATATCTTATTATCGTTTCACTTAAAAGTACATTAATTTTATTAACCGAAGACCAATTCAATTAGTCAGTGAATTGTTTTATTATTTTTTTCTGTAAACAATCATAGTCCATTCTTTATTTAATTGATAAATGAAATGCAGGAAAAAAAAGAAGGCAGTGGAACATTTATTAATCATTTATATCATTGAAATTAGCGCGAAAAAGAAAAGTAGGGAAGAGGTATACTCAAACTATAACAAATTAATATTGAATTCTTGAATAATTTACGCCCATTTAAACAGCAAATTATTTTGCATAACTTACTTTAAGCACTAATCCTTAAAAATTTACTATTTTAAATCTAGTAATTACTTAGTATTAATATTTATCAAGCTTAGACACAGTTTTCTACAAAGAATTTTCATTTCACATGCAGATAACAAACACATTATTTGTTAACTGCTTCTTCATATTCTAATATTCTCTTTGATTAATTATTCTTTTTAAGAACAACGTTTTTTACTTTTTTCTTTCTAAACAGTTTATCTTTATACCAATATTCTTTAACTAATACATTCTGTTCTATTCCAAACGGATCATGTCTATAGACAGGCATTTAAACTCTTTTTTTTATCTGGTCTACAATGTATTGATTTATTTGAACTAAACATATCAATGTCTTATCGGCAATCATTGTGTGTCAAAAATGCAATAGTATATATATATATATATATATATATATATATATATATATATATATATTTATTGATTTGATGTCCATATTGTAAGAAATAATATTTTGTTCATTATTATATAACTACTGATTGGTATACATTACTTATTTTTGAATACATGTAAATATAGATCCACCTACTCTATTACATCATACCATAGTAATGCACACATTTGATGATCAAGTATCTTTACAAAAAGTCAATTCAACTATGATCCACGATAAATCGTCTTTAACAAGAAGTCACAAGAATATTACAAACAAATTAACATGTATTTTTAAAGCTAATCCTCCGCCATATCAAATCACTTGGTTTTATGCATCAATACAAACATTTTACACTTATTTAAATAGAAGATTACATGAAAGCCAATTTGTAAAACAATCATGTCAACAAATACCACAAAATCAACTAGCATTACTTGCTGTACATAGAAAAAATCAATTCGATGTGCAAAACAATGAAACTGATGATTTCTACATACATTTATTATCAGGGAATGAAGCAAGATTAGCTTTGACAAATTATACCAATGTTAATATCACTTATTTGGATTCACTATTTCTAACTAGTTTAATTATCAATCATTGGAAATCTGTAAAATTTGGCGTTTATTTATCTTACATAGTAAATGATGAAGGTTGTCAGCAGTGTATAATTCTATTACGAAATCATAGTAGGTCAATTTTTTTTACTGATAGAAAAATTTCTTTACTAGCCAAGTTTCGTTAAATTGAAATTTCAAATCTTTGTTGTCTAAAATTGATTTTGATTATTGGAACTTAACAAACAGTAAAACTTTTCAAGATCATTGGGAAATTTCAAATGTTTCCTTGCATAACTTGATCATAGAAACGATAGCAGTACTGTTTATTTTTTAGTTTCTCTGTCGCATACTGAATCAGATTAACTCCGTTGTAAGGCACTTTTAGTTTTATCGCATATAGGTTTGCAAATCTCTCACCGTTTTCGTTCCTTTCTCCCAGTCCATGTCGTCCCATGATGTCTTCATATCCAGTGTTGTCCATTCCAACCTTGGCATTCAGGTCTCCCATAATAATCGTCAAATACTTTGGTGAGCATTTCTCGACGATTGACTGCAGCCTTTCGTAGAATTGATCTTTAACGTCGTCATTTTAGTCATTGGTAGGTGCATAGCATTGGATGACGTTCATTGTAACGTCCTCTTTCTTTGTTTTGAAGGATGTTTTCATGATGCTGGGTCCATGAGATTCCCATCCTATCAGTGCCTTTTGTGCATGTTTGGACAGCATCAGTGCAACTCCTTGTGTATGTGAAGCATTTTCCTCTTCATGACCAGAGTATAACAGCAGTTCCCCTGAAGCTAGTCTCTGTACTTCTACCTGTGTCTAATGCGTTTCACTGATGCCGAGCAGCTCGAGGTTGTGTCTTTTGATTTCTGTGGCAACTTGAAATAATCTTCCAGTCTCCCACGATGTACGAACGTTCCATGTACCTAAAAGAATGGTTGTTAGTTAATATTTAATATTCTAGAAAAATCTTTGTAATCTTGTAGACGCCTCGATGGATTTACAAAACATATCAACAACAATATACAAATTTAATTGAATGGATGTTTCTCAATTTATCTATAGAAATTAGTATACGTTTATGAGTGTAATTCCTATTCGCTCCCCATTTTACCTTCATTTTTGTCAAAGTTATGACGTCAATTTAAGTGAATACAACACAACCTATGGACAAGTTTGAAAATTTTTTTAATCAAAGAACTAATTTCCATAAGATAAATGACACACTCTCTCTACGTATACATATACATATACATCGTAAAACTCTGTATTTGAAAACGTTTCATCCGAGTAACAGCAAAGATTAAGAAAATGTTAATTTAGAAATTCAAAGATTAATGAGCATGATGTTACTTTGGCAGTTGTTTTCAAACAAAAAAAAAGTAGTTTTTTTCACATTTTTACTCATCTGATCCAAACTCACATTTGTTACAACTTATATTAGCATCACAAGGGAAAAATCAACTCAGTGAAAAAGTAGACGAGTAAAGAATGGTATAATTCATAGGAAAAAAAAGTAATCGAAAATCAGGAATTTATTCAAGACCATCGGTTATACAAAACTAAATTTTGAAAATACATAGACCAAAGTTGAACTTGATAATTTCAGAAATTATGAGGATTTTATTATTATTACTATTATAATTATCATTATAATTATTATTATTATTATTATTAACTTGTGGATCATTATTTAAACTGAAGTTTTAAAGCATTAACAGTTAACAAGCTCGAATCTAACTAGATTGTAGGCATGTAGTTGAAGATTTCTGACAAATGAATATAATTACTGCTTGGAACTAACATAATAGATCCATTACTTTTGGAAATATCTATCAACGTTTTACTGAGATGAATGCGCTAGTTAGTCAATGAGCTTTTAACTCAAAGGGTTTTTTGCTAACAGTATCTTGTCAAATAAGTGGTTATACTTTTTGAATGAATGTTCAAGCAGTAATCGTCTGCTGAATGTTCATGATTGTCAATTGTATTATGGGGATTAATTCAATTGATAACAATAAACTTTTATACAAAGGTGATCATTACTTTATAGAAATTAGTCTGTTTTATAAATTCTGGCAGAACAATATCAAGACTGAGTTGCTCTGAGAAAAGATGATGTATTTGCACTGTACATTTCGGACATTGAGTACATACATATACTTGTTAAAGTAATTTTATGTGAAAATTAAGACGTTTCAATAAAATTGGCGAAACGGCCGTCTAGTGCTTTCAGGTTTCTAATAGTGGTCTAACATTGGTCACTACATGATTTTAATATTAAATGAAACTCCAAATAAACCTAAAGTAATCATTGTAAACAAAGGAGAGGGAGAAAATAAACGTAATATGGAAAGAATAGGAAATAGTCACAATACTCTAAGGTCGTAAAATATCTTAAAGATTGTCATGATGAATCCAAGGCTACGACATATTGGTTAGGTTTGGATATTTTCATTAGCCAAGCTTTCTATAAGCCTAGAGATTCGTCCTTGACAATTTATATTCCGTTTGAGTTATACGCTGTGCTAAAGACGAACATGGTTTTCTACTTCCTATGTTTATCGAAGTTTGTGTGCGAATATAGCATATTTTTACAAATCATCTTCATTTTCTCATTGTTCAAATAGTAGTTTTCTTTAACAGTATGGAAACAGATAGTTGAATTTTTCTAGTGTACATCATCAACTGACTGCAGTTAGACTTCCGAAAAACTGGAGAGTACTGTACAGTTGTTGTGTATACACAACATTATGCAAGATCAAACGCAACACCATTTAACCCCTGAAACTAACGCTTTACATTTCAACCATGAAGTTTGCATTCAATCAAATTTAAATGATCGTTTTTGAATTAAACTCGAGTGATTTTGAAGACTTTCGAATTTTCTTACAACATACCTCTTCTAATTATTCGTAGATTAGTTTTAAAAATTATTTTAACAATTTTCATGAGTTAACAATTAATTTTCTCTGTAAATTGTATATTTCAAATCTGTTCAATGAATTGAAACTATTTAAACAAAACGATTTTCTATATCCATTGATAAATTAAATCTTAAATGAAAGAGATAAGAGTAGTTAAAATTACTTCTTTTCCTAATTTTAGATATTTGTTGAATAAAAAAAAAACTTCGACATATAATCCTCACTTCAACTAGATTATGAAATGTCTATCATTCTAATTTGGTTTGTTTATTTCGTACTGAAACATACACTAAAACATAAATAAAGCATATTTAAAGCCTTATTATAATAAATAATGAATTCTCGGGAAGAATTCGAAATTTAAATCAAACTGAGTATTTTGAAGTTTTTTACTCATTTGAAAAAATCAAGTTAAAATTAAATTTCTTTTTCATCATAAACTATTCACACGCTACTAGGTACACCAGAGACTCCAAAAGATATTGAAGTGAAAGAAATTACTTGGAACAAATTAACACTTGGTTGGATTCCAGGATTTGATGGTGGCTATAAACAAACTATTGTTGTTAAATTTTTACGCATAATGTATCAAGACAAATTAGTCGCAGTGAACAATATCCCGCGAGAAGTGATAATCAGTCATGTACCGGCATTGCCTATCTATCAACAATGTCACATATCAGGTCGGTCATTTCTCTACATTTCATTTAAATCTCTCTGATATTGCATGTCGGATCAATTTTAATTTTCTTATATGATAATACATAACTAATCTAATTCACTTTGAAAAAACGATCCGGATTAAAAAAAGCATTGTACACAATAATGCTTAATTGAAATAAATTTTTTATTTGAAATCAAGTCAATCAAACTTAGTTCACTGCTTTGATAAAAAACTCCAACTTCATTGGAATTAATATTTTTCTTAAAACTACATTTTGATTAAGATAATGAAAGGAGAGTTATCACAAGCATAAGGTCGATGATCACTTATATATATATATATATATATATATATATATATATATATATATATAGTTTACTCAGTATCCAGGCTACTTAGATGAGTGACGTTGTATTGAAACTTTATGAATAGAACTGTATGAGTATTAAGAAACTAGATAAATATATATTGCTTATCTATAAATTAAATATAAATGTACTAGTCACACAGGATGTATGTATCAGTGTTAATTGAGTTATTGAGTTCAATTCATTGAAGAGCATAATGTTCCTCATGTTTATAGAAGCACTTTGATGAACAGTGCCAACTAGGATGCAGCTTAAAGAGACTGTTATCCTTTTCATAACCAGTTAAGTTAAGCAATCATACAATTCAAACAGTAAGGGATAACGTAGGCATTATTTACTTCCGTCACACAATTTACAGACAATCTTAAGTTGGACACATGTAATCTTTTCCACATGATTTAGATGCATTGACATTAGAACATGTCGCATCAGTTAAATGTACATGTCAGATCGATGTAAATCTACATCGTTAATTCAGTAACTTAATAAGATGAAATTCCTTGACAAAGGGATTGGATGAGTATATTATCAAGTCACATGTTCAATGTTTAAGAAAATTGATTTGTTTTAATTCTCATTGAAACTGAAGTAACCTATAGATTAGTTCTGTTTTCTTCTTCTTCATTATTTACTAGGTTTAACACCAAATACCACTTATACATTTGTAATATATGGGAAAAATTATTTAGGACATGGAAAATTATCAGAAGAATATACAATTACTACCAAAGGTGAAATATTTGATTGAATGAATTGTTTGTGTTCTTTTTACAATTGAAATTTTATTGTGATAATCAAAAGACTACTAATGAGTAATGAACCTTCTTTTTTTTATTTCCATGTTCTTGGCAGTTTTTTCACAATTTATTTAAAACGTCTTTAATTGTAGAAAATCACTATAGATATCTAATTCGGTAGAAATAATATTTTGTTTATGATAGTATAGGGGTTTATGGAATTTTTTTTTCATCACAATGTGGAATAATTTCGGCTAAACAACCATCGAAAACTAAAAAGCATTGAACAGCTCTATTGTCCTCAACTACGCTATCACTGATCGAGTTCAAGATCTTTAGTTTAGCTTTAAGTTAAATAGATACTTCTTTTTACTGATCTACAGCCATTTTGATTATGTTTTTGGAACATATCTTGAACAGGTTCTTAAACTTATGGTCAATATACTTAGCTTGACAGACAAATTGTTTATAGAACTTTGAATTTTTTTTTAATCTCGATTTGTTCCCCTTTAAAATTGTGGTAAGTTGATCGATTAGGTACCCAGTTTCCATTACTGAATGCGTTTAGAACTTGCTTATCCTGAAACACAACCTATTTCGATGTTCAATATATCGGCTAGTGTAGCAGAAAGTTGGTAGATATAGCAAGAAGTGGCCAAACTAAGAACATATTGACTGCTCATGTTGGTTGGTCCAAACTACTTGGTTGAGGCACATACAGACATCAAAGTTATTATCTGCAGATCATGGGTGGCATGTTTAAGAGGCGATCTCAATAATCTGGACATATTCGTTATTTTTTCCTTTTGATCTAGAATTTCAAAATTATTTCATATCTACTCTTCTGTTAATTTAATGTTTCTTCTCTAAATAAAACCCATAGCCAATGCTTTTTACCCATCACAGATACCTTGATATTAGACACTGAAACTCATTTCGTTGCGTTGATGTGATGTGGCAATTGTAACTGACATCAACATCTCCTCAGTTCATCTGTAACTGCGATTATAAAACTGGTTGCTATTTCAAAGATTACATACAATAAAATATTTTTTGAAATCATTCATCAATCATCGATGTCGTAAAATGCGCTCACTAGTGACTAGCTTCCTGAGGAATTTCTCGGAGTTCCAGTGGGAAGACATAACCAGTGGAGGTCAACCCTGTCAGGTGTAGGCAGTAACTACCAAAGACAAATGGGTGTTGGCTCAGTGGTGCAAAGATTAAGCGTTCGCGCACAATACCGAACGTCTCCGTTTCCAATCCTGCGAGATGCAGGAGTCATGGATGCGCACTGTTGATGAGTCCAATGCCAGGGCGAAAGGACCGTCCAGTGCTTCCAGGTTTCTAATCCTGGCTCAACAACGATTAATGATTTCAAACAATGTATGTAAAAACACTAATCTCGATAACTCTAATTGAAAATAAAATATTTAACTTTTCATTGAAATCATGATTCAGTTAGTGTAAGGCCGCCATTGAAAACCTGGAAGCACTGGACTGTCAGTTCATCCTAGTAAGGAAACCCAGTGACCTTCCAGAGCTTCCAGATATTTAATGATAGTCTAACAATGATTGATTCATGCTTTCAATAAAACTCAACACTCTTCACTACTCTATAATGAAAAGTTTACAAAGTAGTAGTAGTATAAAAATTGAATACTTCCTATTCAGTGTCACATGAACATAAGAAAAACAGAAAAAAAATGCATATTTTTTCTATTTTTTTATTCGTTCAACAATTTTTTTTCTTTTTGAGCGTTGAAATAATTTATTCACATTTGAATTTTTTCTCTACTGTATATAAAAAAACAAAAATCCCATGAATCTTCATGATGTCTACTAGTGTGACAGTTTTATTTAGGAGAGAAAAAAATTGTTTGTTATCATAGAGTTAGTTGTCTTTCTTTTAATTGATAATATAGTGTATTTGCACGACACCAAATATTCTCCTTTTCCAGTCTCCTGTTATGCTTATGAAAAAAAAATTCGAAGTGTTGCATCGTCAACAAACAATGCATACATGTCAGTAAGAGAAGAATATTTTTCTTATAAAAAAGAAAAAAAAATAGAAATAGACAACAACTTCCAATAACTTCAAACTAATTCATTCTCTTCAAGAGAAGCATTTGAAATGAATTATAAAAATTAAAAATGAATAATAACTTGCATGAAATCCGTTTCATTATCCTGTGTGTGTGTGTGTGTGTTAATATATGAATTTTATAGGGCCACCTAGTTGATTATTATGTCTATATTAATATGGATTTGAGAAAAATTGTATAAATTTTTCTTGGATTTTATTTCTTCTGACGTTACTCGTTAGTCGATTTTTAAATTACTTTTTTTTTTGAAAAAAATTAAGAGGAAAAATAAAGAAAATTGAATCTTAATTTAATGCAATAAAGTTTGCTTGATTGATATGATTTTTACTTCACAGTCAGGTGAATACAATCTCTTATTTTGATAAATCTCTTTTCTTTAACAATAAAGGCAGTTATAACAAAATTAAAAATCAGGGTAAAACTATTATTATGCAAAGCGTAGTACGTCAATGTTAAGCTGATTATTTGCATAATAGTTCATAGAGGATTGACAGATATCATGTTATATCTGAAATGAAAGATTCCCATTTATTTGAGGAAACGAGAATACTGTTATGTTTAAATCATGAAATTATAGGACTGTTATGTTTCAGTGAAATCATTGAAACCTCGTTAACCCTATAATTGTCACGACAAAAAAATTCTCAAAGTTCTTATGAGGAGGCCGTGAATAGTGTAGTTTAACTGTGTCAACTATAAAGAAGTTTTCGATTGAAAACAATATGTGAGATCGTGCGATTTAGACATAACCATCGTTGTATGATGGCTTAGTTGTCTAGAAGTTAAGCGTTTGTGAAGAACACTAGTAGTCCTGCAATAAGTTATTGCTTACAGTTTAGGAGCACAAAACCACCGTTCATTTGGTTCAGGTTTCTAATTGTATTCCAACATTGATCGATACATGGCTTCAATGTATCATCAATGTGCCAGTTTGTTAGAATGCAAATGTTTTTTTTTTAAAACTTATAAAAGTTAATTTATTACGTTAACTGTTTAGTAACTTCATAAACGGAATGTGTTATTTATAAATAAATTTTATCAAAAAATATTATTTTTCGTAATAGTATGCTACTCTGTGCTACACAACGTGGATATTAATGAATTTCCATGTTAATTTTCAATGTTGACCATTATATAACTCTAAGCAAACTCAGTATCATGTATGCATGATGTTTTGAATAAAGTGAAATTTCACAAGCACTTATTAGTCCTAAAATATCCTTAGAATAACAAGATGACATTATATTTTTGACTGTTCATATCTTCGACTTTTTAACAAACTAATCAAATGATCTAAAGAGTTTCAATTCAAACTCAAGTGAAACCAAACATTTTAACTCACAAAATATTCTAACAGTCTTTATTTCATTCAGTCAACTCCGCCTGGAGTCTCTTTGTGATTACTGGCAGTCCTAAGCACGGATTAAGGAAGATGGTTTGGTGTAGGCTTAGTGACACCATCCTATAGAAAAATAACTCGCTGAAAAAGATTGAATCAGAAAATTTCCATTCAATCATAGAACAGATGATGGTTTGTCTATTTCGACGACACACTGTTAACAACAAAAAATGTCCAGTACAAAACTAGTTTTGTTAATTAACTGAAGTATTTTTGTTACTTATCAATGCATTGTGTATTTAAATTGATAATATCTCTTTGTTATATTTATTTAATTTAGAACTTATCTTCCCAAAATTAACCATCATAAACCATCAGAATAACTTAGTCCAATTGAATTTTTCAAGAAAGAATGATTCCCGGTTATTCTGCTTGAAAACAGAGTTCTTGCCAGAAAATCATATGAACTGGTCAACTTTAATCGATACTTGTCAAACACCTAATGATATTCAACAAACTTCCTCAGTGAACAAGAATACTTCAAATAGTTTCAATGTAATTGTTGAAGATATGCCTATAATAAATGTTGGTGGACGTCTAGATCATAAACAAAAGTTACAAACCAATGTTAGGAGGATAAATAAATCTCTAGTTCAGCATAACCTTCGTAGTGATGCTGAAATCTATTCAAGTTTAGAACATGGACAATCGAATTCCGATGATCCGAATCCTTTGACAGTATCAAAAAATTCAAAATACAATCGTAGACAATCGTTGATATCTTATGATTTAGTGCAAAGTAGGTCAGAAGCGGTTTTTAACCTCAATGATTATTTACATGTTTTACGAATTTTGAAATTGTGTATGTTTATTGTTGATTTTTATCTGTCGAATGACAGTGCTAGAGACTAGCGTATATTTTCAGTTTGTGTACTTGAATCTGAAAAGGAATAGCCATTTCGAATTCATATATATGCATTCCAAAAAACTTCCAAACCAGCAATACACATAAAAATGACATTTATCAAAGTTTTTTGGTGGGTTGTTTGTTGATGGCGTGCACACCACTTATTTCTTTAATGATATTTCATGCAAGTAATGACAATCTAATGCTATAGTATTAAACGTGTCACCCAGTTATATCGACCACTCTTTTTTTCCTTTATCGATTGTATTTTTCTAGCTGAAATTTTGTCGAATAAAACAATTCGCAGTGAACATGATAATAATAATCAATCATCGCACAGTGTTGCATTTCAAAAAGACCAGCACAGTGCTTATCGTATTTGGATTTGTGTACGGAATCAGACGACGATTTGTCACCAAGAAAAATCATTTCCTGAAGGTACAGTGCATTTTTGATTGAATAATATTATTGTTGATACTGTATTTTTGGGGATTCGATTCACAGTTGTATATAGTAATAAAGCAGCCGACTAAATTAATTGATTACTGTACCAGAAGCTGAATTTAAACAGCTTAATCGGTAGCACTACAGAATACCTTATGTTACATTTCAATTCGGTCACTAGATTTGCTTATTCATTAGGACATTGTACTTTAATTCATATTCGGAGGTCGTATTCAGTTTTCAAGAAAGGCAACTCTTATTAACACGTGAAATTTCACTATGAAAAAAATGATACAAATGTTACACCAAAATTGTAAGATTTCAAATGATTTGCACGTTGTACATTAGTAGTCATATTCGGAATGAAAGTGAGTCAACAGTCATACACTAACTTTAAATGGCAGAAAGAGATAATGAAGATCAGTTAAAGGATATTGAAATATCTAAAGAATAATTATATATTGATCGACGAATTATCAAAAATTATCCGGTCAAAAGAAAGAAGGTTTTTATGAAACATTCTGTGTCGAACACATATACTAAATGAAAATGAAATTTGTCATAAGTTAGTATCAATTAGAGCACTGCTGCATCGCCATTTTTACGGTGATGCTTCATATCTCTAAAAATGTTTGTAATCAACGAATAATAATGAACTACACAAACGAAGCTACTGAACTTACGAATTAATTATCAAGCGGATTTGCATCTTCGAAATCTAAATGTACTAAATATTTCAAAACGTCTTATAGAATTAATTATCAGTCAACATAATTAGAACCTATTTATCTTCATTAGTGGAAGTCGATCGCTGTAGCAGGTGGAATTCTTGCAGCTGTTTATCTTTCCGAAAGAAGAGCGATCTCGATTTTCTCCTGAGCACACAATATATTTTTAAAAAAAAATTCTTAGTAATACTTTTCTTACAGTCATCTTGATTATTTAGTAATGATTTTGAATTACCTATGAATATTCAATGTCACTATGTAAAAAATGTAATTAGATTCTTTGACAAAAATTTCCCTAAAGATATTTCAAACAATTTAACGATCTATTCTCCATAGTGCGATGAATGTAGCTGTTGTCACAAGTGTCTATAATTTAATTTGTTTATTCAAGTAAAATGGTAAACAAATTTATTTTGTCTAAATATATATATATATATATACTTATATTGATATTTTCTTTTTTCAGACACTGTATTCAAATCAACTATTCATAAATTTAGAAATAACTTAACTTGGATTATTCTAGCTATTCTTATCGTATTTTTATTCATTTGTTCAATCCCAATCATTATTCTTTACATAAAACGTCATCGACCTATCAGTTTACCAAACATTCCATTCATTCATAAAAAAGATAAAGTTCCTATACAATCAAACAATGATTTATTTGTAAATATGAAAAAATTAAATGGTTCTTTACGTCAACCCAATCAACAGGCCATGTAAGTATGAATGACAGTTCTCATGAATTTTTGTAATACAATTAGTATTTATTTAGTTTTATTCTCTAAATAAACTGAATTGTAAATTTGGAAAGTTGATCATATTCACTGATTATAACCATCTTTAACTAAACAGTTCCATTACAAAAGATAATCATGATCCTAGTTTAACTCTAGTACACGGTTAATGAATGAGTTTAAAGTGCTCATGAAAACAATTTTTAATATTAATATGATGCTGTTTGAAAAATTCAACTGGTAACTTTACCTGTTAAGCAAATATATTATCTGGTGACTGATAGTTATATAGTGTATGTATGTATTGAAAATAATAATCCAGTCTAATATGATCTGTGGAAAGTTATGTAAATTAAAATGTGTTCATTGACAAATTTTAAAATTTATACCGCTCAAATTAACATAAAAATTTTGGAGGATAGAATTATGGTTCTTGAATTATATGGTTTGTTGTACTGTTTGTCACCTCAGTACAGACAACAAAAGATCGTCGTTACTTATTTTTTAAAACTTTTTTGGCTTTCTTACGAATTATCATAACTTCAGTAAACATCTCTTTTGAAAGGACTAACTTTATAATCAGCAAACATTTTCATTTTCCATGTAAACATTAAAAGCAAGTTGCTCAGTGAAGGAATCATTCTATAGTAAAGTCATTTTATTTGAACATTGAAGAAATATATCTAGTTAGGAACATCAGGATAGACAGAAAGTAGTATCATCAAATCCTATAGCACACTACAGAATTACAATCTGCTACTTCATGTTTCAAATACGCATATGACTTTACGGTCGATTGTTATGTGAGAAAAATATGTTTCCAGTAAACTTTAGTAAATGAAATTTAATTACTTTGACGTTGTATTGGCCTACCGCTTCGAACCGTTCATATTTCCGATCTCAGTTTACTGGATAGTTCAATGACCAGCTAATAGCAACGCTATCACAGACTAAACATGAATATAGTTAACATGTCAGGTCTTTTACTTACCATAACTTCAAGAATTTATTTGGTCGATTTGTTAAAAACGTCATGCAAAGATTATTTTAGGATAAGACATCATTTGAACTACTCGAAACATAAACTGTTAGGCGGAGCTTGAATTGGACATTATAAAATGTGACTATATCGCATGACTTCTAGTATTCGGTTTATAGCATAACTTATAAGAAATTAACAATAAAAAGTTTTTTTTTTCTTGCAAACTAATCATTAATCATAAAAATTTTAACTAAAATTGAAAAAAAAATAATTTCTGTTTAGATTTTGTATGATTGAATCATTTCAATTTTTTTTTCAGATTTAACACTTCATTAAATAATGAAGGCATGAAACTTTCCACATCAAGTTTAGAATTATCTGAAACAAATGTCTCAACTCCTTCAACCATAATTCCATTAACTTGTGATTTGACACATAGTCAAATTCCATTATTATCTTTCAGTCCAGATTTACACAATTCTATTGTTAAATCATCCACCATTGAATTGACACCGGCATATATTGAATATCAGCCGACAACATCGCCTGATTTATATCCAAATTCAGTCAATTATTACACTCTATCATCAACATGTTCTTTCATTCCATTAAATACTAATAATGTATGTGATAGTGATGGTTTCGCATCCATTCCAAAATGTATTGTCAATTCTCCATCGATTATTATAATTCCAGCGAAAACAGTTGATTTACAATGTTCAAGTGAATTTTAACATTGCTCTACTCTATTTAACTCTATTTTCTACAGCTAAATTTGATGCCCTTTGAATAAATATTTTCACTTGAAATGAACTAGTGACATGTTTCTTAAACATTCAATAAGAAGGAATCACTGTATAGAAAAAAAGTATGAGTAAATTGTAATCTGTAAAGAATGATTATTTTTCTAAATGAATTTCCCATTGTAAATATTTTAATGAGTTTTTGACATCCTCCATGAGGAAAAAATCTCAAAACAAGTTGATTTTCTTCCAGTGAATTTATGTAATATATATATATATATATTTCTAGTATTTTGTATACATTCAGAATTCTATGTATCTCTTCTATCTTCTATGTGTCAGTATGTGTGTGTGTGTATTTAAATTGTCAATACAAAAGAGTGTTTGGATTTTGTAATTTTGTTTTAATTACATGAAGATATTTCTTTCAGTCATGCCGATTACCGTAGTGATTCATTGGCATTTGTCCTTCAAAACATATTATTGTAAATCTGGTTAGATTGTTTTTTTTTCTTGTGATGTGCGATTGAAACGAAACACAAATTTATTGTCATGAAATTCACGAAAATTAGGGAACTTCATAAAAGAAATACTGATACTATATTGTGACAATTTAGACAACAGTTCTAGGGATACTACACCTAACTTACGTCTCATATGGTGGAAAGATGAAAATTTAGCTATGAGACATACGGTTATAGCGGCTCACGACTGGAGAATTGGAGAAGGCAAGTTAGCCAACTCTTCATGAGCTGAAGAGTGACTAAGTATTTATAGTCAAGCAATAATAGGCTAGACATGTGATAAACGATAAAGCATCCACTTACAATCAATCGATACAGTAATCGAATTATTACAAATACAAAATCATGGTCGATACAATTATCGAATAATTTAAACGACTTATTAATAAAGTACCATGAATGAATGGTTAGATGCTACCGGGTAATCAGAGTGTTTTAGCCTGTCTGAGTCATGATGGGCTGTATCTCTTGCTAGCCATTAACGTATGATGTATATACCATGAGCTATACTGATATATGGGGCTAAAGGTTTTCTATGAGACCAGAGGTGCGTTTTGAACATACTGAGAATGGTTTGGCATTACTTTGGCAAGTATAACTTAGTAAGGCGATCGATTTCATTGATATTAGTGGTTGTCTTGCGACATTTCCGAAGGTCATTGTCATTGGGGTGCTGTATTGCATAACACCATTGTTAATAATAATGAGTTTGTGAAACGTGCAAGCTGGATGGGTCTAATTAGCATGTTCATTCTGTGCAAACTGACTGACGCGATCATAGACCGGAAATAATCACAATATTAATATATATTCTGGTACATATAAGTGGTGTGAATGCTCCAGCAGGGTGTCAGGTTATTGTGTGGTTGCGTCACAGGATTAAGCTCTACTGTCAACGTTGTAGTGTTAACATATGGGCAATCTCTTTGATTCTTCTGGAAACGAATATAAAATTATCCTTATGATAGGTGAGAGTGAATTTATATAATTTTGAATGCTTCATCCATTCATAGATAACTATTATTTACGTGGATCCGATTTATTCTATCCAAACAAAAGTTTAAAGATAAAATATTTATTATAAGAGCAGATGTTTATTCATTTTTCAACGACTAATAAATTAAGATTTTCACCTGTCTTCAATGATTTTATGATAGACAGAGCTTAAGCTGCTTCGGTAATTAAAGTGAACGTATTCTATCTACCTACTAAATCATTCTCTAAACTAGTTACAATTCATTATAGATTAAACACTAATGAACAGGTAATATTTTTCTTAAAAATTTAAACTCAACTAGAATGAAGTGTATACTGTGTTTTTGTTAGACAACAGTCTCTCTTGATAAAACTCAAAAATCAGTGGAAGATGGTAACTTAAGTTTCATTTGAGTCGATCTTTTTAAGCCAATTTAAGGACTACTAGGCTATTAATTCCTTAACTAACAAGTATACCATACCAAATAGTGTTGTGTTTTTTTCTACTGAGTTGACATGTTTAGTCAAGGTACAGAGAAATCAATGTTTGGTGCCATTGATGTTATCAAAATATGTCATTAATTTATTATCTGCTCTGATGTATTCGAATAGATATGCCTATAAATGTTATTACATTTATATTTTCCAGAGTTTAAATATCTTTGCTACTTTATTCGGTTGGCAGCGAAAAATGGATAGTGATATAATCAAACTATCTCGTAGATTTGAATGTAACTTCATAAATGAACAGTCACTGGAATGTTTGAAATGTTAAATAAAATGAAAAACATTTTGTATTAGTTAAAAAATAAACCTGTGCATTCATGAAAGTGTTTATGGAAATTATACCGTATTGTCTCTCAAAAGTCCCGAAGAAGTTGAATCAGTAGTGCTTCCGTGCAATCACAGCTCGATAGAGTCACTAGAATGTTGATGTTGCATAAAGTACTTAGATCATTTTATTTAATGTTTTCAATTCATACAAAAAATTATCATAATTACATACGGTTTCTCCGTACATTTTGTGACACTTACTGAAATAAAGGTTTCTACAATTTTCTCCAGACTTTTAATTAGTGACCTGCCAGAGGGCGATCGGTCATACCCTAGGCTTAAAGATTACCAAGGTAAATTCATGGTAATCTCTAGGCCTAGGGTAATGTGACAATAACCTACCCGTTCTTATATTTTTCATATTACGTTAATTTTCTCTCTCCTTTATATTTACAGTGATCACCTTATGTCTATTTGAACTTTTATTTAATTGACCTTTTATTCATCTTCATATAAAATGCCTTGACAAGTATATGGTATGACCAGATTGTTCGAAATGAATAGTGCAAATACATCACATTTTTCAGATCAATTATGTCTTCTCACTGTTCTGTCAAGATTATTTTATCATTTCAGAAAATGTTTGATGGTTATTCAAAATATTTAAACAGATAGTAATTTAACAGATTGCATATAACATCACGATGTCGTCAAAATATAAGGTCACGTTGATAAAAATAGAATTCTGATAATGTTTATACGAGTTGATGAAATATATAATAATTTATTTCTTTGAATTGATGAACCGATCAATAATCGATCACTGTTAGAAACCCAGATGTACCGGGCAGCCGTTTCGTTTTAGTTCGTATCCACTACCCCACAGGCCGCAATCGAAACCAATAGCTTCAGTCTCGCACACGAACGTTAACCTCTTGACCAGCTTTGCAATCTTCAAAAGCCCATAGTGATAATTATTCTGTAGTGAATCAATGAAACTAAATAGATTAAAACTTGGTGTCATATATTTATTCAGTCAAGTTTGTTTTGCACTACGTAACTACAGTGTGGTTAATTTATAATATTTTATCAAGGATCGTTCTCACATATTTAGATAGATAGAAATTTTTTCTATTTAAGCGTTCAGAATATGGGAAAAAAAGGCTGTACCGACATTTTAAAAATACATTTATTTAATTTAATTATAATTCACGGCGTTTTCTGTCAGTGTACAAATAAAAATTGCGATAAAAATACATAAATTTTCCCATAGATCCTTTGTTTTTAACCGTACCAAAAAAAATAAACAGAAGAAAATCAATGTATGTTGATCAAAGATTAAACATTTTTTGCCGGATATCAAATAAGGTCAAACTAGAATAGATTGTAAATAATAATTCTTTTTCTTTTAATTGACATATAGAAAGCAACTCATGCAATGTGTATGTAGTTTTGAACAAAATATTGTACATTGATCATGATTTAGATGACTATTTCATAGTAGATTTTTCGGTGATTTAAACTAAATCTGATAACTGGACTAGAACACTTCTGTATAATTGACCTCGATACATTATTTAATTTACAATTAAATTAAATCTCGATTCATTAGTGTAATTGTAATTCTCTGGTGAAAGATTGGATTTATAGAAACGTTTTGAAATCGTGAATGAACCAATCTTAGATCATCACCCTGCAATTCGAACCAAAGACCTTCGGTCTTGCGCGCGAACGTCATGGATGGGCATTGGAGATGAATTACATACCAGGACGAAACGTTTGTCCATTACTTACAGGTTCCTAATGGTGATCTAACGTTGACCGATCCATGATTTTAAAAAGTAACCCGCCAACCCCTACAATCCCACAATACAAATTATAGAAACTTGATAATATTCATTTCTCAGTAAACACGACTGATCTACTCTCTATTGTATAACTTATGAGCTTGATTTTAGAAGTTTCTATTGGTTTTTCACATTGAGAGTCTTTAAAACATTTATGATGTCAATTGATAATTTCTCACTATGCAATAATAAAATGTGGTCAACTTCCAGTGGGAACAGGTTGTTTTAAAAATCATCTGAGGTTAAACAATCTTAAATATTAACATTAGTTCATCGCAGGTATTAGATAGACCACTGGTATAAATTTTTATAATAATAGAACATTATATTCAGCCAACAAAATCGCTTAAGCATTGTCAGAACAAATACAAGGTTACAACAAATTGTTCCTGTACCCTTAAGCTGAATTTGAATTTGTGAATAGTCGAGGTTTTTATTAACCTAACAACTCGTCCATAACTGCTTCTATACAACGTATTAAAAGCTGTTTCCTTATCGATGCTATGCCCCGTTTCGGTTTTGTTTTGTTATTGATGAACATGGTTTTCTATATCCCACGTTTATCAGGTCATTTGATATCAAATGATTTCCAAATCATTTAGACACATGTTCCAACCCCTTTGATTGAAATGTTCGATAACTCCTCCTCACGTATGTGTGCCCACGCAAACATGTTAACTGACAAATGCAACAAGATTTGATGTTATCGTTTGAGATATATCTAGGCCTAGGTAGAACCATGATCTAAGTCCTTTCAATTATGCCTAATTTAGCTGCACAATTTGTAATCTCTACAGTTGCTTTTAGTCTCTGTCTTTGAGTCAAACTATTGATATCACCTTAGAATGATAGAGAGATAAACACACTTTTCTTCTAGTCAAAACTAACACAGGCTTCTTGTCCCAACGGACGTCACATATTTATAAACTTCAGTGGATAACCATTTGAATTCAATGTTTCAGTCATGAGTTTAGCATCATCTTCAGATGTATTCGCAGTAAATGTTCTTTG